AAATGCTGATGGAAGAATTAGATAGCCATATGAGAAATAGTGAACATTGACTCTCACCTTATACTCAGAAAAACTAACACAAAGTGGATCACTAACTTAAATTAAAAAATTGAAACTATTGAACTTCTATAAAAAAGTGTAGGACAAAATCTTTGTTGCCTTGGGGAATAGATAAAGAGTTCTTAGGACACAAAACCCATTAACCATAAAAAAATTATAAATTTCATCGAAATTAATATCTTCTGTTTTTGAAAGGGACCATTAAGGGAAAAAAGGAAATTGTGAGTTGTGGGACAATTGGAACTTACCTGCCTGCCTGGTGGAAGCATAAAATGGTATAACCACAATTCCTGATTCTTATGAGTCAGTCAGAAATTCTACTCCTAGTATTTACCCAAGTATTACCCTAGTAATTTACCCTAGTATTTACTCCTAAGTATTTACCCAAGACTTAGGAAAATATAGGTCCATGCAAAGACTTGTGCAAGAGTGTTCAGAGCAGCCTTTTTTTTTTTTTACAGCAATTTTTTCAAAATGGGCCAAAACTGGAAACGACCTAAATGCCCTTCAGTAGGTAAATGGGTAAACAAATGTGGTATATCCATACCCAAGATACTATTTCCCAATAGAAAGGAAGGAACTACTGCTAGCTACAACAAAATGGACGGATCCGACAGAATTATGTTGAGCAAGAGAAGATGGACACAAAAAAATGCATACTGTATCATTTCAATTCTACGAAGTTCTAGAATAAAGCAAGAACTTACCTATAATGATAGATCAGTGGCTACCTGAGGTGTAGGCAGGGCTGAGAGAATTGGGGTTCAAGGGAACATAGGGTTCAGGGGAGCTTTCGAGGGTGATGGTTACATGACTGCCTAGATTTCTCCAAACTCCTCAAATTGTACATTAAAATGGGTGTATTAATTATATGAACATTACACCTAAATAAAGTTGATTTTTAAAAAAACGAAGTAATTATCAATACAGCACTAGAAGCTAAGCCTCCTAATTTCTGACACAGTATTTTTTTCATCTCCCCCATTCCCCGACGATAACGTTGGCTTTTTTTCTCTCTGCACTTCCCATCTCCTGTGGGACCGAGTGCCAGAAAGTGGGAGGCAAGCGGGAGTGAGCACTGGCTCCAGGGTTCGAGCCTGGGTAACCAGGAGTGATGTGGGAGGAGGATGAACAGTTTGGTTTTAGACACACGGAGCCTCAGCTCTGGGCTCTGGGCTGCCCGGTTGGTTTGTTTTGTCTTGTCGAGCCGGGACGAGGTCACTCCAGGAGAAAGGTGCAGTTGGCCTTGGAATAGGATGAAGCAGAGCCGGGAAAGGAATCAGAGAAGAGTCATCGGAGACATAGCAAAACTGAAAGGAAGCAGCTTTTACAGATGCCGTGGAGGAGAGATTTTTCCCATAAATAACAGAGTGGTGAGAAGGACCGAGAAGGGTGTAGACCTGATTGATCTTGGCAAGGCGAACATCAGATCCACAGCTTTGAAGTCAGCGGGGGTGGAAATCCTGGTTGCTCCTGCCACATCCTCGGTGACTTTGGGCAATTTGCTTAATGTCACTCAAACCCAGTCTTCTGAGATGGGGACAAGTAACGGTCTTCATCTGACTGCTTAAAAAGGAAATATATGTAATGAACTTAACACGGGCCTGAATAAGCATTAGTTTCTGGTGCTATTATTAAGAGATTATCATTTTCATCATTTTTTCTTAGCTCATATTAAGTATTTGCAAGTGGCAGGTGTTGTGCTACAGGATCTGTATGGATTATCTCACTTCATGCTGAAATAGCCCAATGAGAAAATCCTCACTTTACATGTGGGAAACGGGTTTCAAGAGTGAAGTGGCTCCCCAAGGTGTCAGCGTGTGCTGGGGTGTGCGTGGGCCCAGGCATTGTGGCTGAGTCTGTGTTCTCCACCCTCTCTGAGAGAGCATTTTCCGGAGGGAGAGCAGAGGCCTGCCCAAGGGACTCGGGGAGTGGGAGACAGGAGGGAAAACTGGCTAACTGTAGATGTTCTTTCAGAAAATATGGGGTAGAGGCAAGAGAGAAGTGAACAGCAGAGTCAAGGTTGGATTTCATAGGAGAAATTTGAGCCTTGAGGTTTTTTTGGAGATTTTTTTACCTCAGGCAATGAAGAGAACTTCTAACAACCGCTTAACAGCATACATTTATTGAGTGATTGCTGTGTGCTCTTAAAATTCCCCTGATTTGTACATAGGCTGGGACATCATGTCCAAGGAGATTGAGTGCAGTCTCATTGGTTTTTGTTCGCCCAGACAGTCTTGGCTCCAGGATAGCAGACATTGCACCTTGGAATTCTCACACTTCTGATAAAATGCCATTTGCAACCGCCCCTCCTTTTTGTTACTGGAGGGACACATGCTGAGGAGACAGGTGCAAAGGTCCATCCTGTCTCATCTTGCCCACAACGCTGACAACCATAGAAGGCCGAAACAGAGAGAAAAGGCACAGGAACTAGGGCTGGGGACGTCCCAGGCCTTCTCCTGTAGCAATGCATTTAACAGGCTGCAGGAAATTACCCCTGAATAAGCAGGTTCCATTCCCCACCGTGATACAGAGAGGAGAAAGGGAAACCCTCATTCTATGTCACTGTCATGTGGTGAGTTTGCATCTGGCCCCAAGGGTTTCCAGTGGTCATGAAGAGAGCTCCTGCCTGGAGGGGGCCAGAGTGGAAGTGCTGCCCCTGCTAACTGCAGAAAGAAGAGATCCATGAGTGGAAAGTGCTGCAGAGGAAGTCATGGTGTAATGGCGTGGTATATGAGGCTGGGTGGATTGCGAGGAGAGGAAGTATAGTTTCTAAGAGGGGAGACTTTTATCCCCATAAAGGGCCAGGTTGAGCCAAGCATAAATCTATATTCTGAAATAGCTATGATTATTTTGGTAATACAGTAAAAGAGAGATATATCTTCTCTTTTATGTTCTACTAATCCCACCAGGGCAATACTTGTAGTTAAGATTTTTTTTCCTGAACGTATGCAGTGAAGTTCATTAGGCACCTACATTTAGTTTTAGTTTTCTTGCTTGGAATTTACATTTTTATATTAGAAAAGAATTCTTTCACTGAAACATTGAGATGAGCTTAAAATTATTCAGAAAAAAGAAGATTGCTTAGCATGCTAGTTTGCTGAGTTTTAAAAATTTCCCTTTCTACAGAGTTATTTGTATGATTTGAGGGTTTTTAGAATTCCCACTCATTTAGGGTTGGTTGACTCTGTTTTGGGAATTTTTTTTTAATATCTGAAGGTTGCTTTCAGGTTTATAAATTAAGTTTTTCAAGAATATAAACAATTATGAAATGTTAACTTATATATGATATAACCTTATGAGGTTTTTCTTTTTGTTTAATTCATTGTGCTGAGTCCTTTTTTTCTTTTAATCTAGAAATAGACAACAAGAAATATTACAAGTACAGCAAAGAGAAGACATTAAAGTGGCTGGAAAAAAAGGTATAGTGTTTCTCTAGTGCCTTGTGGCAAAAGAAAAAATTCAGTGTTCCTTTTTAAAAATCTTTAGATAAGGCAGCAAGTCTGATTCCAAAGACCATCCTGTATAGCTAGTGAAAAGAGGAAAACCCTATAGAGATATCCAAGTATGAGAAGGGGTCTTTGACTTTTTATCTTCCCTAACTTGTGTGGCTCTGGAGTTAGCTCAGTGTTTTCTTGTGACCTGTATTCTCATTTCTCCCTGGTCCTACTACTGAATGAAAGAATTTCTTGCTATCTGTTGGTATAGATTTGAGTCTTCCAAGCCAGATGATACCTGGCTTGGTGCTCTCTGGCTGCCGCTAGTTCTGCAGGTGTGTCCAAGGGTGATGTTGCTCACACACAGCCAGGCAAGGGGCTGAGGGCAGAAGGTGTTCAGGCTTAGAGGAAGTGTGTCCTTAACACTGAAGAAGGGTCGTCTTCCAGGCAAAGTGATCCTAAGAATCTTGACCTAATATAAGGTCTGGGGCAGTGCTTTTCAAATCAATTTAGTATTTCTCTTAGAATAGAATGGGATAGGATAGGATGGAATGTATTAAAAGATAGCACAGAGTAAGGGCAAGTATTAAGTATGGCTCTCTGAAATGTATATTTATACATGTGTTTGAGCATTGGGTTTCTGTATATTTCTTAATGTGGGTTGTGGTTAAAAAAAAAAAAACTTTGAAAGCCACTGGTCTAAGGATAATGTGTACTTTCACATTGATTAAAAAATCTCACTAAAGCAGATCTATTAATGACAAAGTTTTTGCAAGATAGTGGATGCCAGTAGTTACAGTACTGTTTCCTAAGATTCTTGTCTATCTTATATGTCAAAACCATGTTTGTCGTATCACAGTCCCAGGCACCTTGGCAGCCTGTGATGTTGGAAGTGAACCCTGTAAGATTAATCAGGCTCCTAAGGTGCAAAATAGTGAAAAGATTTTAAAAGTGCCATATTTCACTTTTCGTTTGCCACATAATAGTAGTATTCTATGGAGGTGAGGAACGAGTATAAACGCTGGGCAGAATCTTGGTATTTCATTTTTGTCCTTAGCAAATGATAATGACACAAATAGCTAAGTGAAGTTTATGCTTATCATGTTTTCTAGGAAATGGGAAATTTATATTGTTTACTCTGTTTAGAAAATTATTGTATATAAACTTTGTGCTTCTGTTCCGAGGGCCTTATATATATGAGGCCCTCATATATATGAGGCCCTCATATGTTTAATCCTCACAGCAATCCTATAAAGTGGGTACTATTTTTATCCCTATTTCACAGATAGGGGCACAGAGATGTTAAGTAACCAGCCCATGGTTCCAGAGCAAACCCTAGCAGCCTGACTGCAGAGTCAGAGCTCTCAGTTACCACAGTATGCTGCCTCTCATATTGTGCAGGCCTTAGAAAGTCATGTATTGAGATCATCCGGAAATATTGCTGCTGTTTGGCCTTTCTCCAAATGGGCAGTGTCTCTCCTCCTCTGGTATCTGGTGAAGATATTTCTAGGTTCTCAAATACTTCTTCCCAGATCTTAAATGGTTTGAGGGCCATCTGGAAAGTCAGGGATTTCTAAAGTTAAGTTGAAAATACCCTGCTTTTCTCCCCTCTTAGTTGCTTTATAGGTTAAGCAAACTATGGCAGCATTAAAAACCAATCATATAAATGTCGGTGCCCGGGTACAGTCAACTGCATTTTTCTCTGGTGATCAAGTTTCCAGTGACAAGGAAGGTAAGTAAATCGTTTCATCAGAAACGATTTTTGTCCGGAGTAAGTTGCTTATGTGTAAATGCCTATTTTATGATGTAAAAATCTTAATGTCACAGAAGCCTCATACTCTTGCCAATGCCTCATAGATCTTGTGGCAAGTAAGCATCTGATTTCAGAAGCAAGGAATATTCCTACCATGGATTACTTCTGTGATTCAGTAATACTTAAGTTATTCATTCTGCATATATTTCTTTTACACTAATGGTAATAACAACCCTAACAACCCTGGCTATCATTTATTGAGGTGTGTTGTGTGCCAAGCCCTTTGCAAAGTTACCAGTGTACATACAAATGGCTCTCATCCGACTCTCCCAGTAAATCTCATGATGAGAGTCTTGAGGCTCTGTCCAATGTCACTCAACTCGTAAATGGCGAAGCTGAGCTACTGACAGAGCTTGTCTCTCAAGCCCACACTCTTAACCTTTTTCTTATACCGTTCCAGTGGGCTACATCTGTTTGCGTCTTACTCTCAAGAAGTATATTTCCTAATATAGGGCTCAGTATTTTTATTTCAGACGACAAGTGATTTACTTGGAAATTTTTAAATTTTGTTCTTTTATAACCTAAAAAAGGGCACCTTCTTTTTTTTTTTCCAATGTAGTGTCCTCTTATTTTTATATGTATAGTTGAATAAAAGCAGCTACATAATGCAGTTAACGTTCTCAAATGGTGGGACAGAAATTATTCTGACCTTAACCTCCAATTCAGTATTCCCTTGTTCTGGATGTACAACTCTGAAACATCTGGCTTTAGTCATTAAACAAATAAAAACTAAGAATAGCAGCCTATTTGTGATTAATGGTAATTCAGACAATCTTTGAGTTGCAGAAATCTACCTTACAACACCTCGCACATATAGATAGTTGGCTACTGCCATTCTGGGCGTGGTGGACAGCACCCTTGCCATCCTGAGTTTGCCAGATGTCAGTGTTTTTAATTGGCTTTAACAAAAGGAGAGGAGGGATCTAGTTGGATGGATGGATGGGTGGATAAGACCATAGATTTTTTTAAGTAGGAAAAAAGATGTTAGAGGTTAGATAGATCCTCTCATTTTAAAAATGGAAAACTGTCATCTCAGAGAGGTAGATGACTTATCCAAATTAATAAGCAAGGTCTTCTGTTCTGAGTCCAGTGTTTTTACCAGTACTGTACACATAAGAGTCTGAGGGGCTTTGCTATATTGTCATTTAGTGTCCCAGCCATAAAGTACGCTTTACGTGCTACACAATTTCCTTTTTTAGGTCTTTAGCTTGGTATGGTACTAGAAGAAGCAAATGAACTATATGTTGGCTTTCTTTTCTAGTCATGACTCATTGGATAATTACTATCCCAGAACCACGAGCACATTTTAAGAAGAGTCAAATGTTAACTTTCAGTTCTGCATTGACAGTGAAAATCTCTTACTGAAGACTTGTTGAGATCAGGTGGTCACCAGACAGCAGTCATTTTCTCAGTAATACTGAGGCAAATCGTTACCTTAGCTTGAAAGCAGAAGAGAAAGGAAAAAAAGGAAGTGAATGAATATACCAGCAGCAAACCTGGGGTCTGCTTTTGATAGTTTATGTCCCTGTGTGGTTATCCCATCTTATGATTAAGTTTGATTATCCCCTTATATTCTATAATACATAAAATACTGAATTCAGGAACAGAGTTTTGAAACAGATTTGATTGTCTTAGGTAACTGTATTTTTAATTGATGCCAGAGCTGCATTTTAGTATTGAGCATCAGCATGCTTTAGAATTATTGATTATACATTCCGCTGAGTTCATTGGTTTCTTTTTCTTTTTTTAAGGCATTTTATTATTTTGGGAGTAATATTCAGGGTTCTTATACAGCAAATACCTAGTTGTAGACGTATCATATTGTATTTTGTTTGTCTTAAATTAGAGCACTTGTTATTGTTCAATAATTAGATTTATTCTGTATTGAAACAGAGTTAGAAAAGATTAGCCTTAAAAAAAGTTTTATATTGTTATAGATGATTTTTTAACTTTATTAGTATTTAAGTACTTCAACTAAGAAAGCGACCCTGAGTTTTTGTTTTTACTATTATTTAGTGGGTATCTACTGTGTTATACCTGCATTATCATATTTCTGATACTATCCTATAGCATATCTTATCCATCATATTACCCCATGAGTCCGACGGATACTAGTATCCCCACTTTACAAATGAGAAAATAAAGCTATAGCTTAAGTTAAATTCCCTGAAGCCAGATAGAGCCAGAATTTGAACTCAGGTCAATTTGACTGTAAAACCACTATAATTATTACTAATTTTTTTTACTTTCACTCTTCTTTCTAATTCTTTCAGAGGATTATATTCGTTATGCCCATGGTCTGATATCTGATTACATCCCTAAAGAATTAAGTGATGACTTATCTAAATACTTAAAGTAAGTATTGGTCATCTTTAGTCATAATTAAGTACCTTTGTGTTTCTTGGTTTCCCCAGCAATGGGGTTTCTTTACGGCTTATATCACTGACCCTGATAAGAGATTATTCTGTTACGTCATGTACTCTCTGGTATGGATGTGATTTTTAATGGATGATTGGAACGAATTGATTGGGTAGATACTGACTATAGGAACTAATGAATGTTCAGGTTGGAATTATATTATAGCTTGTTCTGATTTTAGAGGATAAACTGTGTTAAAATTGTATTCCCAATTAGACTCAACTAATTTGCTTCTTTGTGATCATTCTAAGAGAAAGAAAAGAGGGATGGAAAGGGTAGACGGCATGCAGAATATTTTTGAAAATTACATTTAAATGTTTTGTACCATTTTCACTATCATCATTAGATGTTCACTAAAGTATCTTTATTATGCCCAGTTCTTGGAAGACGAAGTAATATGAAACACAATTTGTGTCTTTGAGGGGCAGAAAAAGGGTTTTAAGTGACTTAATTTATGTTCCTTTAATAAAGATTTTATATTGAAACTTTAGTTTGAAAAAATATGTTTATTTTCTATATTTTAGCAAAATTATTACTTAATTTTGTTGTTACAATTTTATATGTGTGATGATTTAGTAGCTTTTCCTGATCCTTATAAATTCTTTTTATCCTCTGACCCTTGAAGATACAGTTGCTGTTTTTAGTTAATTCCGTAGGTGCTATAAAGCAATTGGTGGAAACTGGTTTACTTTCTGCAGTGAGGTGTGTTGCAAGCCTGCTTCAGATGGATAATCAGATCCTTCTGCGTAATATTTCCCTGGGTTTCCTAGCTGCTAGTCTTCTTAAAGACCTTATGTCTTTGTACTCCATTATTTGCTTAGATTCTTTTCTTCCCACTGAAATATTTAGTTTTGGTTAAAGATTTTGGTAGAAAGATCTGCCAATTAAATTTCTTTTTAATGGAAGAAAAGGTAAAGTTTATATGGCTTTTTGTCAATAGTTAAAATAATCACCACTTTTAAATATATATTAGTGTCATCATTTATGAGGAAAAAATACTCCAACACCCCACACAAATTTATAGAGGCTAAAGAAGAGCACCTTTATTTCAACAAATGGGTTCTAATTTTTTTTTTAGTTCAGACAATGCCAGTACAAGGAATTAAGTAGAAAAACGAAGCCTCATTAAGTTAGAGAACTTTCCTTCTTTACACTGAGGTGATTGAACAGCAAGATATATGGAGATAAAGCTGTAAGTTGAAAAGTTGGATTTACTAAATCTTAAGTTGGCCCAGTCTTTCTGTTTGTTTGCCTTTGAAAAACCATGACTATGATTCTTATTTTTAACTTCCTTAGGCTTCCAGAGCCTCCAGCGTCATTGCCAAATCCTCCATCAAAGGTAAGAAGCTGTGACTAAGATATCTTTAGGAGACTTGGAAAAATATTACACTTTTACCACATGAGTTTAGTTTGTTCTAGTATATTTTAAAGCATACTAAATCCATCTTGCATGGAATGATGCTATCTGGAATAAAGATTGTACTGGGCTCTCCGTCATTATTTTTTTATTCTGTAGATTTTACCTGAATGGTAAATAAAGTGCTATGAAAACCCAAGAAGAATTGGTTTTAGCAAGATACCCTTGTAAAAATATACATATATAATTAAAATTAAATCTTCCTGAGTGAGCTGAATCACTTAATTAACTTTATTAATCACCAAGAATACTCTCTATATAGCTAAAACTCATTTTGCCAAATCTAATTGTCACTGGCACAAAGGTGCACAGAGCATGGTTTTTGCAACACAAAGAATCCTTTGAGCAAGGATGACCACATTTTTTTTTTTCCTGAATTTGAAATGAGCATCGAAATTGTGTGTAATCTTTATCTGTTAATGGAAAAACTTTTCCTCTTCCAGACATTCCCAAACTGCCACCCACGGCTCCTCTGCAGCTTGTGTTTATCTCCCAGATCAGGAGAATAGAGAAGCCAGTCATAAACCACACCTGATTGCAAATTGTAGTGTCTCTCAGTCCGGGCCAGATCTCAGACGAGTCAGCACTGCTCCAAGACGGGGAAATAAACACACGCACCAGCTTGTCAGTGAGGTCATTTTGCAGCTAGCAAAGTAACGGCTGCCTCGAGAATGCAAAAGGGACACGTAGCAGACGTTAAACAACTTTCCTTTCCCCCTGCATTCATTCCTTGGCCTTCAAGGTGGCCAGCATGCTCAGATTTTTCTGTATCATGCCCTGTTTGGAGGTGGTAGTACTTCCAAAAACATTCATTTCTTTGATTTTTAGAAAAGGACTGGAAATCAAAAGGGCATCAGTGTTCCTTTGGGGCTGTGTTCAGCAGGTTATCAAAGGAGGTGCATCTTTTACTGTCTGGGAGAACAGCACTAGGCAGAGGTCAGTTGCTGTAAAATCTAAGATAGACCATTCCGGGCCAGCCCCATGCTTATTTCAGGCCGGTAGTTAGTCTCTGACAGTAGCTCTAGGGGACCTAGAGAAACATAATTGTCTTGCTGTAAGTAAGAGGGTAGGCGCTATGAAAGTGTTTGTTTCTTATTTCTCTCCCTCCAAAAATTAAGCATATGTCTTTCTCTCAAATATTTAATATCTATATTCCTTAGTAACTTAGAGATCATTCATGAATTGGTCTAAACCTATTCGTAAAGGCCTTTGATACCTACTGGAGTAATACATTTCGTAAGTTTATTCTTCTATGTTCCTGTTTTCTGCTTTCTTATTTTAATTTCCAAAATTTAAGTCGTTTGTGATTTCATCATTTATGGTTTAGATCAGGGGTCAGCAAACCTTTTCTTCTAAGGCCAGATAGTAAATATTTTAGGCTCCGTGAAGCAGATGGTCTCTGTCACAACTACTCAACTCTGCTCTTGCAGTGTGAAAACAGCCGCAGACAATACATAAACGAATTAGCATGGCCATGTTCCAGTAAAACTTCATTTATAAAAACAGGCGGCCAGCTGGATTTGGCCTCTGGGCTGTCGTTTGCCAAGCCCTGATTTTGATCTTGGCATCTCATTTCTCCTAAACCTCAGCCTTGTCTCCTGGATAATTTCAGTTGCTTTCTGAGTTCTTCTCCTCCTCTCTGTGTCTTCCTGGGGTTTTGGTGTACACATCACAAACTGTACCGGATGGTGTACCATTTTATAAACAAGCATAGGATGTGACTTCTGCTAGCTTTCCTGTTTGTATCCAGGATTTGATTGATTTTTACAGTAATATAGTTGATTGTTTTCAGGAAATACATTCCAGTAGCCATTAGGTATCTTTATATCTGTGTTGTAATCGATAGCATGGAGCCTGTCGTCCTTAATATGTTTTGTATTATTTTCCCTTATGATCATATGTCTGCCTTTGTTGAAGCTCAGCTTCCAACCCTAAGTCTTTTGAATTTGTCACTGTCAGCAAGCAGAGCTGAATGCAACCAGTGGGTTTGGAGATGTTCCCGAGTTCCTTCTTGCACATCATTTGTAAGAACGATAAGACCCGGCCTAACATTAATCCCTGTGGTACTCTGCTGTTTGTTCTTCTCTTTCCAGAGCTGCATCCATCTAGTCATAAGCTTTGTTACTGTCTTTCTGAGCCATTTTTCTATTTCTGCTGAAACAATCCCATAAATCTATAGTGATTTGGTCTTTTAAATAACAAAAATTTCAGTAAATGTTACAGTCTTCTTTTTTCCAATATATTCAACGGTGTGCTGGGAATAACATAAAAATTAGTTACATGCAGAGGCTACCACAATCATTTTCTTTTTTTTATAAACACTTATAACTGGTATCTTATTTGGTTGTGAGCTATTAAAACACCTGAACAAGTCAGCCCACCTGTTAAACATTTTGTTTTCATATGGAAGTACCTTTCATCTTAAGCTTATGCCATGAACACTTTTTATTTGAATTATCAGCGAAAAGTGAATTTTGCAGGGCGTGCTGGTATGCGCCTATAGTCTTAGCTACTCGGGAGGTTAAAACACGAGGATCGCTTGAGCCTAGGAGTTTGAGGCTGCAGTGAGTTATGATCGCATCTGTGAATAGCCACTGCACTCCGGCCTGGGCAACGTAGCAGGACCCCATCTCTTAAAAAAAAAAGTGAATTGTGTCCAAGTGTTTATAATGACATCTATATTAAGACCATTTTGCTGTAGAGAAGGAACACAAACATCCTCTTACCTTCAAGCTTTTTGTGTTTTGAAGATATTATAGCCTTCAGCATTATTAGCTGTGAGTTCTACTCTCCTGGCTGAAAATACCTTTCTAGTAAAAAAAAATGTGCATCTCCTAAACACCCTTTGCTGTCTTAATTTAAATAGAAATATGTATTCTTAAGAAAGTTGCATGTACACATTCACTTTGTGCTGGTATGTGGTTCGTATGTGATAGAATAGTCTTTTTCTTTTGATGATCCATTCACTAGTGGCTGCTGTGTGACCATGAGAAGGTTTTCCCACATTATGTGGTATGTTCCCAAGATGCCCTTCTGGTTTTTACAGGGAAAAATTTCAAGACATGTTGTTTCATCTCCTTGGGTTATGTGGGCTGTGGCATCTTTTAGCACCACCTCTACCCGTTCTTTGTGTAGCAAAAGCAAGGGCATGAACAGTGAAGCTGGGACAAGTCTGTATTTCCTAGGGTAGATGCATGGTGGATCTTGTCAACCTGGTGTCTTCACAACGAGCTTGAAGATCTGTGAAAATCCAAGCTGTGATCATCATGCAGTCAATTCTTCATGTTAAACAGCAAGACTTGTCTGTCCTGCTGTTGAGCCTATTACATAATAAGGATGGCACGATTTCTTCCATGTTGTGAACATTAAGGCCACGGTCTAGCCTTTGACAAGATTCTCACATTCATTGGTGCAAAATGCTCATGCGAAAGGTGAAAATATTAAGTAAAGGTTTGACTTAGTTGCATTGAGCCTAATAGAAAGAACATTATAAAAATTGAGATGTTGGCCCAAGTCCTCTACTAGGTGACCTTCAGCTATTCATTTAGCCTCTTTGATTGGCTGCTTGCTGTGCAAGGTGGTTCTTGTGTAGATAAAACGAGATAGTTGAATTGAAAGGAGGGAAGGACATAAAGCTATGCAGAGATGGTAATAATGGAATAATGTCCCTTTATTCTTAAGTAGATATTAAACCAGCCCAGGAGGTGAATGAAATAGGGGTTCTGGCTGGACACCTGTCCCCCTTAGAGGGAATTTGCATCTTTGACTTCTGTGCCTTGCCTTGACCTTGTAGTCAGCAGTCACCTAGATGCCCATTGTACCTGGCGCAGACAAAGTGTGTGGTTAGTATTGCCAGACTGGCTAAGGGGCTGGGTCATGTACTTGCCCGGTCATGTCCCACCGTCACCAAGGCTGCTTCTCGGAAGTGGTGTGTGACTTAGTTCACTAAATAACTGGCAACATGTGAAAGAGCTTGTACAAAGTTAGCCCTTTGCTGTGTCTGCTGTTCCATTTGGACTTCATGTGGGTCCGAATTACACATGTTGGGATTCTTTTAATGGATTGACGCTCGTGTCAAGATGACGTTTGACATCACTTCACTGCTCTAACGTTGCAGAAAATAAAGTTATCAGATGAACCTGTAGAAGCAAAAGAAGATTACACTAAGTTTAACACTAAAGATTTGAAGACTGAAAAGGTATGTGTGTGCAGGTGCTGTGGCGTGTTAGACAAACCCAGCGGGCAATGCTGCATGAGTACGGGCAGGGACCATTGCAGGCTTGATTGCGATTACAGCTTTGACCAGGGTGAATTATTCACTTGCATTTCTGTGACTTAATAATTAATTCACAATTGTGCGTGACAATGAAAATGTTGAGCAATTAAGACTTTTTACAAGTCAAAGAAAAGCAATATGCTACGTATCAAGAGTGTGCCTAAACTTTGCTGTGTATTCATGGACTGATAGGGTAGGAGGGAGGGCACCTCTACAGGTAATTTTTTATCAGCCCTATTGCCCAGAGCTTCCCAGAAATTCTGATGATGATAAAAATTATTAATAACTCTGCCATTCAGCATTTACCTGGGCAAATGTTGGTAACATTTCTTATGAGTTTTATCTCATGCATGCATTATAAATTCATATGTAGCTTTAAATTGGCATTATATTACTTATATAGTTGTTTTTGCCTTTTCCATTGAGTATTACATTGTGAAAATGTTCACACCCAATATTCTTTGAAAATTGTTCATAGTTTCATGATGTTCAATCATGTGTGTTACTTTATTTCATTATAGAGAATGTAATTTATTTACTCATTCCTGTTTTTGGACATAGAAGTTACTTCTGACTTTTTTCTGTTTTTTGTTTTAATGAAGTGATAGACATTTACAGTCCACATTTGTGTCTATTTCATTAGACA